GTCAGGATAGAAGTAGAATATCATGAATAACAAATATCAGTTATTGAGTACCTATTTACCTTTGATTTCATGCAACCATCGATGAAGTTTTTTATAATAACATCGTCTGCACAAATTTTCTTGACTCGAATGTTTGTTCAAACCTGAAACTCGACCACATGTAGACTCAACTTTGAAGAGAAACGTCTTATTTACCAGCTTCTTCAATCTCATTCGGGAAATTCCCATTAACAACATTCTATAAAAGAACCATATTAAACATTCAATGCAATGTAATAAATAGATAAATAATACATAATACATTTAATAAATAATAAATATAGAAAAATAAAACCTTATCCTGCGAATCAAACATCTCTGCGCATGATTTTTTTAACAATGTAGCGAGCATCCCTATCAAAAATTACAAAAGTTGCTTGAGTCTGTTTCATCAATGACCCTCACCTTAAGCTTGTACCTGAAATTCATAAGCAATAAAATATTATTTGTAAGAATTTCATAAAAAAGTTGAAATATGATGCCAAAAAAATAGCATTGATTAGTACCTAGGCATGACTTTCATGACATGTTTATTACATTTTTCACGATAAAAACATTTTGGAATCTGGATATACTCGCTTTGTTGCACACACAAGCTGTATACCACCAATCATCATCATGAACAATATGTTTTATAGTGCCTAGAATTACAAAACTTGTTTCCTGTAAAAACAAATATGAACAATAGTAATTAAAACTAAAATGAATAGACAATAGCCACAATGAACATCACTAATTAATAGGAATGGAGTAATGAATAGACTAATAATGACTATGACACCTGTTTACAATCTTTTAAACCCTCTATTGTATTTCTAGGAGTAGATTGAAGAAATTCATCTTCACTGGTTTGTTTAGAAGAGTCAGAAAGCTGGCTTAACCCTTGGGCAGGTGACTCCATACTCTCAGACATCCTGCATTCAATAAAACATGAAAAGTCAAATGGACATTTTAGTTGGTTAACACTTCAAGTGAAATTTATGATTTACACCTTTTTTTAAGTTGTCTAGCTTCTTCGCACTCAGCATTGAAAATTATCCTTGTACAATCCATACAATTTTGCACATATTGACCAAACAACGTACACTCTACTCTAAAACTAAGTTTGAAAAACAACACATGTTAAAAAAAAAAACTATACTATACTATAGTAAATCCTTAAGCATCAATAAATGGGTTAAAGAGCTTTACCCATCAGCCTCTAAGCATATCATGTTTAGTTTTGTTTTTTTACCATTCTTGTCTAGCTCTCTTTCTGTCCCAACTCCTGTAAGTATTCCCATGACATCTGTGTTTGTGAAATGATGTTTCATGTGAGTAACACCATATGCTAAATAATAAATAAATAGTATATGATAAAACAGAGTATTTAACATCATGTTATATGCACTTACCAACCAAGTAATCTGTGTCAAATCCAGGAGCCGTAATAACCGAGAGTGGTATATATTGACCATTATTTTCGGTTATAACATGACAATCAACTAAGTTCACTTTGGTTCCAAACTCGGAAGTTGATTTTGTATGGGTGGTGGGTGGTTTTATAAGAACCACCATTTGATCCACGACCAAAATTTTGAATAGAGTACACACGCCCCTCGGTAATTTCATTTTGAAATTTATAGATGAGAGACCTCCTAACGTAACCCCGAATTCTGTCACCCTGCATTAAGAAAATGAAATCACAATTGAGTGTTATTTAAAATGTATTGAAAGCATGGTAAACTGACCTTCATATCTTGCATGACAAAGTCCATGGAAAATGGCAATTTGTGTTTAGTGAAATCTGAAACAAACCACAGGCGTATGACCTTTGCCAATATATTCCAATTTTCTTTTTCAGCACTGAGTTCTGAAACGAGTGATACTTTTTTTGCAAATTAGACATGTTGCAAACCGAATGTAAAAAATAGATAGAGAATAACCCACTCAACGTAGAAATATTATCATCACGAGATGTATATTTATAAGCATGGTGGAAAGAGGGAAATGTTGCTCGTATTCTAGAATTTGAAATTTGAAATTTGAAATTTGAAATTTGAAATTTGAAATGTTGACAATATTAAAGTAATCCGAATTAAAACTTTTGTAAAGGGAAGATATTACCATTTTCATGTATCCGACATCCTGTATTTCCGTCATGATGTAAAAAACAACAATTTTTATACCTCCAGACTTGGGCTAAATGCAAATCAATAAGCAAAATTACATAAAACTATACTCGAAATAGGTATAAACAGATGTACAACCCTAATGACTGGTCAAAGAAGACAATATTGAACTCTAATGATGATAAAAAAGCAAACTTTTTTCATGAAAAAAATTTCAACTTCGCTCTTGAAGGTAAACAACATAAAGATTGAAAATCGGTAACTTTTAAATTCAAAAACCTTAGATCAAAGCTAATCAAGTAACATTTTTTCCGAAATCGGTAACTTTTAAATTTAAAAACCTTAGATCAAAGCAAATCAAGTAACCTTTTTTACAAAATCGGTAACATTTAAACGCAAAACCTTAGATACAACCCTAATGACTGGTCAAAGAAGACAATATTGAACTCTAATCATGATAAAAAATATAACTTATCTCGAACATGCAGATGGAAATACTACTTGAGGGAAGACGTGCAACAAAAGAGATTTCATGCTTCTTTTGAGACACTGATCTTGCATAAAATAGGAAAGATTGCAAGCAAAGAAGACGTGCAGAGCGTAAGAAAATGTGCAGAGCAAGAAGACTTGCGAAGAACGCGCAGCAGAAGGAGCATATGAGATATTCGAGAGAGTATTTGGGCTGAGGAGAAGCATGGGCTTGCAGTATTGTTGTGGCCCAAAGAAGCAGTTTGTCTTTTTGTACAAAATAGGTATGTTTTGTAAAAAATTAATTTATGATTTTTTTTGAAAAAAATTGTGGTGATTACACGTGTAGAAAGTTGCTATTTGTGTTACCTGGATTACCTGGATTTGTATATAGTTATAGATTTCAGTATATATGTTGTCTTTCTTGATCGTTCGAGAGTTAAAGCCACCTCATGGGTTGAAGGAAAGGAAAATATGCAGTTCTGAACTTCAACATGTCATAAATGCATGATCAAATAATACTTCCCTTTGAATCTACATTTATGTGTAAATTCTTATCAGTTCTACTATTTACATTATTCTGATTGAATGTCTATTTTGGACGTGTCAACAATTTGGTTGCTTGCACTTCATACTGTATTTTTGGTTCCTTCCATTAACCAGCTCATTTCAACACCATTTTTATATATATTTAGAGAAACAAAAAATTATATAATATGGTAACCGAAAAATTTTATGTGATTATAAATGCAATCTCCATCTCGTGAAAAGAAAAATTCATGCACGTATTTCCAAAATTCAAGGTTCATTCTCGGTTCCTGACTCTAGAAGCCACACCAATTTCAAAACCTTTGTTATCCAGACGTATCATTGTTTATCCCCCTTTGAAATTAGTGGCCACTATAAGAAGACTATTTAAACTAAGTCAGCATTCTGAATTAGTACAAATGTTTTATGGATGATGCTATTTGTACCCCACCCAAACTTTACAATGGTGTGGAAAATCAGAAAACTATCTCTCTTCTCTGATAACAATGTTGGGACTGGAGCTAATGGAGGACCACATAACTTTACGTTAATATACAATTATAGAACTATGTTGGATAAAAGTTGAAATAGTAGATTTACAAGTTAATGGATATATAATCTTCTTTTATCCAATAGAACTCTCCAAATATCTCACGAATGACTTGATTGAATAGGGAGCCATGTTATCCCTTAATACTTTAATCCATGAGAACAATAAGTGGAAGGTTTATCAATAAAAAGGAATGAAAAAAACCAAAGTGGAAGGTAGAAAAGCATACTCCATTTTAAAATCTATTCAATTATCTTACTTGTAATAAAAAGCTTAAAAATTTGTGCTAAATCCCTTTTGGTGTTTTAAATTGAAGAAAAAGATTTTAGTTTCTTAGATTTTAATTTTCTTTTTCTAAAACCAAATAAAATTCACAAAAAACATAATTAATAGAGAAGGGATCAAATATATTTCTAATAATTAATTATTGATTAAAAATATAATTATTGATTTTCTAATAAATAGTTATTATAACGCTTTATGTTGTATAGTGTTTCTCCTCATTTTAGAAGCCAAATCCTATATGTCAATAGTATCAAATAAACACTTTTGTTAAAATGGCGTGATTTCAAGAGCTAAAAAATGTAATTTTGAAATACGAGGAATTGAGAGAGAAAAACTAATTTACCTAAAGTTCAATATTAAAAACATAATTAATAACACTAAAGCATCAACATTATAGGGTTGCCTCGTACCAATTTTCACAAACCTAGTTGTGGTAGAGATAGATCCCGGGTCCATTGTATGGAAAAGGTAGACCAACACAGTCACTGTTCTGTGTCGTGACAAACACAGTCACTGTTCTGTGTCGTGATTGTCACCTTTTGTTTTCAACTAACACTGTACACTAAAATTTGTATTTTTTTTTTTTTTTGTATTTGTATGTTTATATGTGTCACCTTCATTCATCTTCATCTCACTTTTACTGGCTTTGCGCCAGGGACTGTGACAAAGTAGATGCATGGAACGGTTAGGATTCAAGAAACCCATATGGGTTATCGTACTGCATAAAATCCTAGCCATCCCATTACCAAACATCACTAGCCTACACAAGATTTTTTTTTTCTCTCTGCTAAACTAAAACGTGTCTTTCATTCTTTTGGATTGTGGCCATGTCCTTGTCAAATTATACATGATCGATACGTAGTCATGAATGTGTGCAACATTATCTTCGAATTTTTCCATGGTTGAGAGAACTCACTCTACTTCTGCTTATATATACATGTAAATGCAAGTTAATTTAGCTTTTATATTTTTTAGTTTTAGACATCACTACCAAAGATTTCTCTGGTTCTTGTCCTACCATGAAAAGCCTCTGCCTTGGGCCGTTCCTTGCTGCCAGGTACATGTTTTCTACTTTTTTTATTCATTAAGCCAGTGTTTGTTCATGTATGCTTTTTTATTCTGTGAGATGAAATAAAGATGGTCAATGCAACTTGATGGGAAGTATAATCACCCAAAAGAATAGTAGAATTGTCAAATATATGTTGGGGAAAATAAACTACAATTTCATCGTAATTGGTGAGCTTCTTATTCCAGTTCTTCATAATAACAGTGCCCCAGTTAGTTCAAGAGCCTTCGGAAGCCATTTAACCAGAAAGTGCTTTCATAAGCCAGTTCATTTCCACTCCCGTTCTGTTGTTTTCTCTTCAATCTCGTAAGCCCTCTCTCTCCCTCCACCTTTTGGTCATGAGGTGTTCTAATTGTATTTTCTCAATTATGATGTTCTTTTTATGTGGTTTGGTTGCATATATGTATGGTTTATCTTGTGAAGATGTTCTGCAACTCTATCAGTGTCGCCAGAAATAGAAGAGAAGCATATATTTGATGGAGAGAAGGCTAATTTGCTTGTCAGAGAGCTTAGAAAGAGCTTTGATTCAGGAAGGACAAAGAGCTATGATTGGAGGGTTTCCCAGTTGGAGGCCATAATTAAGATGTTAGAAGAGAGAGAGAAGGATATTATTGAAGCTCTATATAAAGACCTGGCCAAACCTCAATTTGAAGCATTTATATCTGAGGTATTCAACTTCTCGCTTTTATTTATAAGCTTCTGTTATCCATTAGTTTATGAAATTCTTTCCATTTTCTATTTCTCCGTTCCCTTTTGTCATGATGCCTTTTAATGTTTTCCATTTGTTCAGTAGTCCTGTCAGCCTCACTTCACTTCCATCATAGTCACATCGGATTTAATGGTGTTTCTTAATGCAGGTTTCCCAGGCAAAATCCTCATGTAGTGAAGCACTCAAAGAACTGAAACACTGGATGAAGCCTGAGAAGGTAAATTGCAAGACGAGCTATAAGTTTCAACATGGTTTTATTAGTTAACAACATACTTTACTTTACCCTTTTTTAGGTGAGTACTTCAATCACGACATTTCCATCGTCAGCAGAGATTGTGCCAGAACCGCTGGGGGTTGTGTTGGTTATCTCAACATGGAACTTTCCTTTCTGTATGTAGATGTTCCTTTTTCATTCAATTCACTTATCTAGACGATATTTGGTTATATTACTGTAAAAAGTACAAGCTCTTCTTTGGGATGTATTACTGTAAAAAATACAAGCCTTTCTCACTCTTTTCTTTCTAATTTTACTTTCTGTCAAATTCAAATTTCACCAGTTAATTCAAGCTCTAGAATTCTCTGTTTTTTCCATATAAATTTGGCCAACACCTTTGGCTCTTGCTTAAAATTTTAATAAAGTCGAGCCAAGTCTATATGATATTTGTGCATTCTTCTCAAGATCACCATCGTCTTTTGATATTCATCAGTCATGACTTTTCGTGTCTAATCATAATGAGTCTTCAGTATTCATATCCTTTTTTTTTTTTGGAGGGGTGATGCTTGCTCTAATTTGTTGACTTGGCTGTTCTTCAGCCATTTATTTCATTGATTTGTTCTTTCTTCCTATCTTCAGTGTTATCAATGGATCCAGTCATTGGAGCCATATCTGCGGGTAACACAGTGGTCCTAAAACCATCAGAAATTGCTCCAGCAACATCATCACTGCTTGCAACTTTGACCGAACAATACTTGGACAACTCTGCCATAAGAGTTGTTGAAGGGGCTGTCCCTGAAACAACTGCACTCCTGGAGCAGAAGTGGGATAAGATACTTTATACGGGTAATTTGTCTTTTAACATTATATCCATATCCTATAAAAAACAGATTAATTTTAAGATGCATGAAATTTGGATTTAATTAAAGCTGTTTCATATATATGACTGATCCTAATAATAAGTACTTATTATAAGTTACGTCTAGAAATTTGAGTTGACAGTTGAAATTTTCGCTCTATAGTAACAAGTCACATGTATTTAGCTCACTAGCATGCTTACTTCACTATAAGGTTCCCATGCATAATAGTCTTATGCAGGTAGTGCTAGAGTTGGTCGGATTGTATTGGCTGCAGCTGCAAAGCATCTTACACCAGTGATTCTGGAACTTGGAGGAAAGTGTCCTGCCGTTGTTGAATCAGATGTCAACTTACAAGTAACGTCATCTAAGGATCTCCTGATTTACACATCGAGTAACATATTTTCATGTATCCTAATCATTGAATTTTCAGGTTACTGCTAGGAGGATAATAGCTGGCAAATGGGCATGTAATAGCGGACAAGCATGCATTTCTATTGATTATATCATCACAAGAAAAGAGTTTGCTCCAAAGCTGGTAAGGTTGCCTCAACAATACAAAATTCCCTGTGCTATTAAAATATATTACTCTTGATGAATTCTCACTCGACAGATAAGTGCCTTAAAAGAAGAATTGGAACAATTTTTTGGGAAAGATCCGTTGGAATCAAAAGACATGTCACGGATTGTGTCTCTTAACCAGTTTGCACGGCTTGTGAAACTCTTGGATGAGGATAAGGTATCTGACAAAATCGTTTTAGGAGGTCAGAGGGATGAGAAGAAATTGTGAGTTGCATTCCCTTTTAAATTTTGAAGATTGGAATATTACTTATACAATATCATAATATCAGTTCTTACTTTATATTGCAGAAGAATTTCACCAACTATCATATTGGATGTTCCTGAAGATGCTTTGGTAATGCAAGATGAGATATTTGGGCCAATATTGCCAATCATCACAGTGAGTACTAGATCACTATGAAAAAGTACATTGTGAGACTTGTTGACAAGGAACATGGTCCTTAGTAACTGTTCTTGATGCACCGAAAACATGTTCCACTCATTTATGACATTTTTTTTTTCCTTTCTAGCTGTTAGTGACCATTATTTCATTCCAACTCTTTTAAAACCGTACTGGTTCTTGTTTCCCAGTTTCCTGTTCTCTGTTACATCTGACATAGACCCCAAAACACCAGTTCTGAAACTTGCATCTCTTTTTCCTTTCTTGTATTATTTGTCAATGAGAACATATTGAAAAGATGATCCTAACTTAACCTCAAGTCTTCAATTGTTTTGTCCAAAATAAGAAATTACCTTTCAAGCATAAAACCACTTTGTTTCCATGTAGTATCTATCTTCCTTACTCCTTTTACATCCCACCGTTTTTTCCAACCAAGTTATCTTCTTCAAAAATTATATTTGGTCAGACTTCACATGTTTCTTCATACTTAGCATAGAGTTATTATATTTCTGCAGGTAGACAACATAGAAGATTGTTACAGTATAATAAAATCAAGGCCAAAACCTCTTGCTGCATATCTCTTCACAAACAATGAGCAGCTGAAGAAGGATTACGTGGATAAGATATCTTCAGGAGGGATGCTCATCAATGACGCTGTCATTCATGTAGTTATTCTCATCCTAAAATTTACACATGAAAAATTGCCGTTTGCTAGCATAATATTTTTTAATTATCATCATATTTTTTCCATAAATCAATTTTGTCCTTATAGTGAAGAACACAGAAAAGTTATGTCTCTTTATTTGGCATCTCTTATTGGCATGCATAAAATTCTTCAACTTAGCTTGAGAGAATTTCTGGTAGTTGGTGGATATAAGTTGACTTATCAATGATTGAGGAAAGCCATTGGTTTCGTTATTTTATAACAAACAATCCCTTAATTTCATCGGAGGAAGTAACTCATGCAGCTGTGGAATGAATCTTAAATTTAAATGTCAAAATTGAAGTGTTTTTGTTAGGAGTACTAATTATTAAGTTTCTCAGTCATACAGTTATATTTACCATTGAACTTCATGCTTGTCTGCACGTTTTGCTCTTTAATATTCATGATCAACATACAGCTGTTCCTAAAACGTGAGTAAACAATTCAGCCCTAAATGAAAGGAACCTATAACTTCAGATGCTCGAGACTTCACAACCTAAATTTTGTGCGGACATGGAATGAAATGAAAACTGAAAATACAATGCACATATATTCATCAAATGAAATAAAATCTTGAAATTTAAGCTAAAATTTATACATGCACTTAAATGTGTTAATATGTAGACACTTATCTTTGCATGCAGGTTGCAACAAATGGTTTGCCTTTTGGAGGAGTTGAAGAGAGTGGAATGGGTTGTTACCATGGAAAATTCTCTTTTGATAGTTTCAGCCATAGGAAGTCAGTTCTCTATAGAAGTTTTGATGCAGATTCATCCATAAGGTACCCCCCATATACACCTCAGAAGGGAAAATTATTGAAGGCCCTTATCAGTGGCAATATTGTTCAAACAATTCTTGCTCTTCTTGGATGGTCTTAAGGAAAAAGGAGGATGGTAGAGTTCTTTTCAAGATGCTCATGAATTAGAAATTACTAAAAACTCGTGGCTTCCAATTTGGTAGAAGTGGCAAAATTTAATTATAATTTTTTCCCCACAAGTTTTCGATCTCATGAATTTGTTCTTTGGTTTCCATCAACTTATTGATTGAGGTATCAAAGGCAATGTGCCTGCCCTTACAGAAAAAGAAAGTTGGATACTTTCTTGTGTTTCATTTACACACACATATAGTGTTTTTCAATTTTTAGTTACATAATTGTCATTTTGTTTTTAATTTACTTCTTTCTGATATTTATACTAGAGACAAAGAAATAGCTTTTAGTATTTCCTATATAAATATTTGAAAATAAAAAGTTAAAAACATGATAGTTTTGTATATTTCATAAGAACGTGAGGCTTAATTTTGTTGTTAATGTAAAATGTTTGGTGATAGATACCTTACAAACTTTCGTGTCTTTTCTAATACTAAAAAACTAAAATGTGTAAAAATATTTAACAATTTAAATTGGTATTTATGTAGATGTGTTAAATTGAGTATTATTTTATTTTTGTAAAGAGAGTTTAAAATGTCATTTCCTAACTTTTTTATATTTACTCTTTTTCATTTTTAAACTATTTATTTACGTTCTCTTTCAATATTTTCTACATAAGATAATATTTTATTTTATTTTATATATTTTTTATTTCACTTCTCTTTTATTTCTAGTGGGCCGGGGAACATGTGATAAAAAATAATACAATTTTATTGTTTTTTTTATTATATTAAATATTGACATTAAACAATTCGTAAATCTATTTTATTATTTTAATATTAGATATTATCAGTGACATTTGTTAATAATATATCTTTTTTTAACCGTTACAATTGTTAACAAAATAAAAATATAGTGTACTAAAATTATATATTTTTCTTTTATTTAAAATTTGATTGAAAATACTTTTTAATATAATATAGGATGAATAGTAGAATAAAAATATAATAATTAAAATTAACAATATAATGTAATTAAAATGATTGCTATATAATAGAACATTTTTCATTTTCAATGAATTCTTCAGTTTTTAGCTATCAATTAGCATTCTTGGCAAAATTAGCTGAAAGTCATAACTGAAAGTTGTAAAATAAGTTATGAAACTACAGGTATTTTGTAAATAAATGAAAAAAACACATTTATATATATATATATATATATATATATATATATATATATTTTTACATTATATAATTTTATATATATATATATATATATATAGAGAGAGAGAGAGAGAGATAGAGAGAAAGAGAGAGATTTATAATTTATTTTTTTATTAATTTTAAAATTTTGTAGTTTTTATTTAAAATCCATTGTTTTGATTATGTTATTTAGTTTTAACTATTATATTTTTTTACTGTACTATTGTATTATTAATATTATACAAAGTCTTATATATATATATATATATATATATATATATATATATAATTACTATTAAAATATAAATAATATAATTAAGTAAAGATTTATATTTTTATTATATCGATTATATTTAAATTGTAATAAAATCTACATTATTTAAATAAATACCGATTTAATAAATATCATATAAACAAGAAGAAAATAAATATAAAGACAACCTTTTTACTATACACTGTTTATCAGATTAATGCATTTATTTTACGCAATAAAAGCTAAATACGTATTTTTAATCTTTATTGTTTAAATTTGTACGGATTAAAAATATATATAAATATATATTAAAAAGAAAATACATTTTTTTTAAAGGTAAAAATTAAAAGTTCGAGTTTGTTTAATTATAGAAGTAAATAAGTTTAAGTTTAGTTAACTGGATGTTCACACGTGGAATCCATTGCAAGTATACTATGTATTATTTTTTTAATATTTAAAATTATAAATCTTTGCTGCAATTTTTTTTTATAAATCTACTAATTCATCAAGCTTTTTTTCACACACAATTTGATAATTTTTTTCATTTTTAATATTAAATTATTCAAATTTCTTACTAAATTAATTTCTGTCTTTTGAAATGGACCCAAATCAATAAAATGAACAAACTTATTTCAACTTCTTGCAAAATTAACAAACATTCAATTCAAAATTTTCAAAACCCTCTTATGATTTTTTTTTCTTTATTTCACTATCATCATCAATTCTTGAAATTTCTCACTTATAGATTTAACATGCAATATTATATGTTTAAATAAAATAATTATATTTAATTTATTAAATCAATTATAAAAAAATTTAGTGTAATTTATATTTAATGAAGACTTGAATATTTCCTTGCAAATTATATCATCTCAGTATTTAAATAAGAAAAATAAAATTATTTACTAAATATCAAGAAAAAAAGAAAAAAAAGAAAAAAAGAGAGTATAAAAAACAATTTGGTATGCTCAAATTGACTTGTATTTATATGTAATCATTGCATATATTATAATATAATCCATATATATAGTCAATGACAATGTTCACGTTGATTATCATACTATTAATGATATTTATAATCTCTAATTGAACTGCACTCATACACTTATCAACAAAACATTATACATACAATATAATTTTTCATACTAATTCTAAATGTTTATAACTTTTTAATAATATTTTGAATTAATGCTTTTTTATTAATTTAAAATTAATTTATATTTATTAATTAACAAATTTAATTAATTTTAATTAATAAATATTTCAAAATAAAATTTAAATAAATATAAGTTGTGAGATATCCATAAAGTTTATAAAAAAAGCATTTTTAAATTTTAAAGTAAGATACAACACAACATTAAAATATAAGATTTTGCATTACTAATGTTATCCGTGAAAAACATTTCCCCACGTGGACGATATGTTGCAATTGTCCACCATATCCTTCTCCTAAAATAAAAACTAAGATGTAACATTATTGTTTATATCAATATTTTTGTTGCAGTGTTGGAAGGAGACAAGGAAGAAGTTTCCCAGAAACTAACAGAGAGTCTCAAAATCTGAATGAACACACTCTTACAGTGTTTCCAGTGCCAGTGCCATTTCCAATCCCAATTTTTTCTTTCAGTTACTCAAAAGGGTTGTGATAATTCTCAAGGCAAAGTTCATTGTTGATGCTTTATGAGGAAGAAAGGAACTTGAAGCTAAAGCATGAGAAGCAATCCCACTTCCAATTCCAATGCCAAGGTTGTTCTGTTCTTCCCTCCTTCCTATACCCAAACCCAATCCAAGGTTGTCACTTATATTCCCACAATCTAACACCAACAGTTGAAGCAAAAGCAATACCCATGAATCCCATACTTCATGGACAAGGACAAGACCCACTCTTTCAAGAAGAATCAAGAATTTCGATTTAAACTCAACCCCACCACCACTCTTCAATTTCTTTCATCCATTCATTTGAAAATAAATAAATAAAATAATAAAAGAAAGAAGTTTTTGGTTGGATTGAGAAAGAATGAAGATGAAGATGGGGAAAGTAGAGATGGTTCTTGCGGTGATGGTGCTGTTCAACATGTCTTCTTGTTCAGCTTGGTTTGGTGACACACACAGGAACTCAATTCTCCCAAGTCAAGCCAGGTCATCATCATGTTCAAGGCTATTGAATCCTGCTGGCTCCTCTGTTGTGTTCCCTCTTCATGGCAACGTTTATCCTGTCGGGTACAAAACTTCTCAACAAGTCTTCTTTCTCGGTTCCTTGTGTTGTTTTATGTTCTGGGGTTCACTTGATGTTGTTTTCTGGTTCAGAACTTTTCCGCAAAAGTATAGCAAAACAACTTTAGTTATTTGTTCGTAACTAAAGTAGTCTTTTGTGGATATTTATAACTTCTTTTCTGATTAAAGTGAAACATCTTTAGGAAATTGATATTCTAAGATAAGTCATTGTTTTTTTTATTGTTGATTTCACTGTTTGCAGGTTCTATAATGTTACTCTCAATATCGGTCAGCCAGCAAGGCCTTATTTTCTTGATGTGGACACAGGTAGTGATCTCACATGGCTCCAATGTGATGCCCCTTGTACCCATTGCTCTGAGGTATCGTTATCATTTCACTACCTATACATGTAATTGGTTCTTGGTTAGAGATAGTATTACACTGCATATACGATACATGTAATCTTTGTTTGGTTGAATCGAATTTGTTGCTTATTTTTTCAGACACCCCATCCACTCTACAGGCCTAGCAATGACTTTGTTCCCTGCAAGGATCCCCTTTGTGCGTCCTTGCAGCCCACTGATGACTACAACTGTGAAAACCCTGATCAATGTGACTATGAAATTAATTATGCAGATCAGTACTCAACCTTCGGTGTGCTTCTCAATGATGTCTACCTTCTTAACTTTACCAATGGAGTTCAACTTAAAGTTCGGATGGCACTGGGGTTGGTTTATTATGCAAGCTTTGTTTCAGCACCTCTCAACCCTTTTTTTCCTTTGTCTACTATTGTTCTCTTGATATACTTGGATTTCTGCATGCTTGCTTTTAGAAAAGGCCTCAAACACTCAGCAAAATTCTTTTCATCAATACATATTAGAATGATATATATATATATATATATACATACAAAAAAAAAGTGAAATAGGTTGCACATGGGTATGTAAAAGTCAGAACTTTAGAGTGAACCCTTGTGGTGACATTACTAAACTCTACAAAGTTGGATAATCAGCATTTTTTGTAGCACATCACACACGCACGTCCCATTTCCTAAATCACGTAAAATGGAAGGATTTGATGCAGAAACTACGAATTGTAATGCCTGTGTTGATGGATGTCCCGTTTCATAAAATGCTGAACCAAACATGCACCCGATGCTATGTAAAACACTATTTACTAACAATTGAGCGACTAAAACTAATTAATAACAGAGAAGTTATGCTGTTCATAGTATTTATATTTTTCATTCAGGATGACTAAATCGTTTTTCATATGTTATGGAGTGCAGCAATCCTGAGAGTTTGAATATATTCTCCCTAGATAACTCGTTTTTAAGTATTGCCATTGCCCAGAAAGGTTTCAGAGAATCACTCCATTGTCGGTTGTTCAAAATATGGTTGATCATGCCATCTGTCCACCCCATGATGATGATTACAATTTGTGTCACGTATTTTTGTTGAGACATTCTTAGTTATTAGCTAATGCACCTCTTTTTTTTATTCCTTTCTACAGATGTGGATATGATCAAGTCTTTGCACCTTCTTCTTACCATGCCTTAGATGGAATACTTGGCCTTGGAAGAGGAAAGACCAGCTTGATATCCCAGCTGAATAGTCAGGGCTTGGTAAGAAATGTGATTGGACACTGTTTAAGTTCACAAGGAGGGGGGTATATCTTCTTTGGAAATGCATATGATTCTGCTCGAGTGACATGGACTCCAATTTCATCTGTAGATTCGTGAGTACACCTTAAGAAGTGACATCCTCATTTTAATTTTTCCACATGTTCTTAATGATTCATAATTCTATGTCCTGATTTGAATCTTCTGTGTGCTTTGTGTCAGCAAACATTACTCTGCAGGGCCAGCTGAACTTGTTTTTGGAGGGAGGAAAACTGGGGTTGGAAGTCTGACTGCGGTTTTTGACACTGGGAGTTCTTATACTTACTTCAACTCTCATGCTTACCAAGCATTACTTTCTTGGGTCAGTCAAATCAATTTTCACTATATTCCCCAATTTGAAGTGTTCAGTAAGCATAAAACATTTCTTCTATATGGTCATGCAAGTTTTGTTGGAAAACGGAAAAATAATAAACTCATTTCATTCTTATGTTCATGAACATTTAGGTTTACAGTATTTTTCCTTAGCATATATATCTTTCTATTCCAACTCTTAAATTTTCCGAGAGGTGTCTTGCCTAGTATTCCAAGTCAAGCACGAAAGTTTTAATCACAAAAGAAAGCATTTATGATATTTGTATATATTGTGCCAGAAAACAATGGCATGTACTTAAGATGGTTATTTGTTCAATATCGGAATGTAGCTGAAGAAGGATTTAACTGGAAAGCCCCTGAAAGCAGCACCTGATGATCAGACTTTACCTTTCTGCTGGCACGGTAGAAGACCTTTCAAAAGCATACGTGAAGTCAGGAAATACTTCAAGCCCGTGGCACTTAGTTTCACCAATGGTGGAAGAGTTAAAGCTCAATTTGAGATCGCTCCTGAAGCTTATCTTATAATATCAGTGAGTTCTACACTCCAACCTATCAATATCTTGTATATCAGTTAACTTGTTTGCTGCTATCACAAGTAAAGGATGTATTTCATGTGTGAATGCTGACAACCTGTTCTTCCAGAACCTGGGAAATGTTTGTCTGGGCATTCTAAGCGGCTCTGAAATAGGTTTGGAGGAACTGAACGTAATTGGAGGTAGGAACTTTTACCATTTCTTTTCTTCTGGTTTGGATAATGGATATTATAGCTTGCACTACAATTCTTCACTTTATTATTTATGCAGACATATCCATGCAAGACAAAGTGATGGTTTTCGAAAATGAGAAGATGTTGATTGGTTGGGGACCTGCAGATTGCAGCCGTGTTCCAAAGTCTAGAGATTTCAGTATTTGATCATAATAAGAAAAGACTAATGTCTGTTAGCTTATGATCTGTGCATACTATATTGGTTATATTGGAACATGTTATAGAGGTCCATCGTGATGATCATATCTAGTGTTGTAATGTATTACTGTAACATTCTGATTCCCGAAGTAGTTAGTTATATTACAATAGAATTTAAAGGGTAAAGACAACACACAAAATTTCAGTTGCTGTTTACTCGGAAAAATTAAAAAATATAATATAATATTATCACAGACATACAAAAGAATCCAAGTGCAATAGCATTGGAACTACAATGTTCTAATGGGTCCTTACTCCTTAACACAATTCCTAACATAACTAATGGATCTTCATTCTTCACCCAGTGGAGATCATTTTTCTCTTGAGTTTTATTTTACTTACACCTCATATCTCATATTTCCTTAGTCACCAACAGCAGTTAAATTCAACGTTGAACAATCACCACTACACGTGCACTATTGCTTGGGGCTGCACGATTTAATCTTTTTAATTTTAATTTTAATTTTTTTTTTTGTCTTGAACGAATTTTAAAAATAAATATAAGACCGTTCTTTCCTAATGCGGGTCCCACCCTAAAAAAATTAAAATGTCTTCGGTAGGTAAGCCAACATCTCATGCCAGGGTGAGGGCTGGTTCATTTGGTATTGGGCCTCAGGGGCAAAAGCGTCGTCTGCTGACAGATCCATCAAATTAAAATCAAAGCCCGAAACCAGGTCCGGGCCCAACCCGAGGTTGTTCCACTCGCTCTGCACCTCCCTCTCGCACGTGCCGTCCGGCGAAACCACCTGCTCGGAGCAGCTAGAGTCCGTGTTTAACCTCGGCACCGAATCCGACGAGTCCATGTACAGTTGGTTGCTCCTTAAATGGTCGTGGTCGTACATCTTGATCTCAGGCTTGATCTCGTGGTGGAAGGAAACCTCCTCTGGTAATTTCGCCAATTTCTGATCCACCACCCCAACGCCATTATTGTACTTCTCAATCTTCCCTTTCTTGTTGTAAATTCGACATAGCACCCAATCATCAAGCTGCGATTCCAGTAGCCACAATCGTCACAAAATGTTTACCAAACCAAATATAATTATTATTTAGTGAAGGTTGTTGTTATTGGGGCATACCCTCAAATTGTTGTTTTTCTTGGAGGCAGATCTGTCGACGTTGGCTAAGCGGTATTCGTGCATGATCCAATTGGTCTTCACTCCTTTTGGGGCTTTCCCAGCGTAGAACACAAGGGCTTTCTTAATTCCAAGGACTTTCGGTTTCCCAATCGGTTTATCCGCTCCGGTCGCCTTCCAGTACCCGGTTCCAGCCGCCCGGTTCGGTCGTGAACCGTTTGGATATTTTCTGTCACGAGGGGAGAAAAAGTACCACTCTTTCTCACCATAAAGAGCCATATCTACACACACATAATACAAAAAGTTAATTTTTGCTAACCATGTAACATTCTCAATCCAAGGTTTAAGTTTGGGTTGAGTTTATTAAGTTGTTGGTTAGTTGAATGAAGCTTAAGAAAAAGGTTGGTACCTGGAAGCTGCCATGGATCAAACTTATACAAATCAATTTCTTTGATGATGGGAGCAGCAATGGACTGAGAAGCACACTTTCTGCACAAGTAGTGGTTCACGAGTTCATCATCAGTGGGATGGAATCTAAACCCGGGTGGTAATTCCAATTCTCCTTGCATTCGCGGTTTTTCTCTTCTCTAGTTTGTGTTTCTGTGTCCTCCAACCCTAACTATAATTCTTGTGTGACTTGAAACTTGAGAAAAGATAGGTGAGGTTAAGCTTTATAGGAAGAGTGAAAGGGTTTATTTTCACACGTGCGTAGAGGAAGGTGGTATATAGGGAAGACAAGTCCTTCAAACTTCGAACCTGGTCTCGGCTCCAACCTATAAAGGTCACCGCAGCCGACAAGTGGCAGACTGTGAGTGGAGCACAGGTTTGAGTGAGCCACCATGGGCTGATTTTGTCATTGCATCCGTCACCGCCCCACCCGGTTTTGGTCAAATCGTTGACTGTTTTGGTAGCGGCTCCGTCTCTATCGGTCGACACCATATGGACCCCACTTTTCTTCCTCCTCCAACTGTACCGCGCCACGTGTACCACTTTTGAACGTTCTCAAACTACCTAGAATTTCGATGTTCCAAGATTCACTGTAATGGTTAAATCTGTAATGTGAAAATATTGTTACACGGTGAGTGTAAAAAAAGAGAAAATTCTTCAAACTCCATTATCGAGGTCAAACAAAATCAAAATGCAACAGCCATAAGGAATCTTTCTAATATCAGAAGTTGTCGTTTGATATTGATTGATTCAGAAAAATGTCACAGCTCATAAATGCTTTAATCATCTTGTTGCAAATGCGAAACTCATGCATCCCAAAAGTAATAATATATAATTAAAAAATTTATAGATAAATATTTTTATCCTTTCTCAAAATAATAATCATTTATGACAACAATTATAAAAATATAATTTACTATAATTTCATAAAAGATAAAAAAAAACAAAGCTTTCTCTTTTTTTATACAACAGTTTAAGAAAAAAAAAGGTTTTCTAAGTATTATTAAAAATTAAAAAATATTTTCTTAAACACACTATTAAAATAATAATAGTGTATGATTACTTTCAAACGTGGAAGAATATTCTTCTCCAGAAACACTAATTACTTGGATATTGGTACCACTCTTCAGTAATGCTTTGACTATCAGGCGCGTGCCACACTTGATGCAGAATTAATAACATATTTTCCACGGCACAGCACACAATTAAGACAGCAGCAATGTGCACACACAAATTTTACGTGTGCATATCCTCTCCAGAATTTCTCAGTAAAACACACACACACAAACTAAATCATAAAAAAAAAATATATATATATATATATATATATTTTTTTTTTCAAAGATTGTGATCGAAAATGGATTGAAAAACAGCAAAAATGAAGGTGAAAAGTGTAGTTGAGTGTGACGTGGTTGGTGAGGGTAGTGGATAAGGACGTTGGTCGAAGGTGGAAGCTACCAGGATGTTACCTCGTAATGGATTGATCTAGACCAGTCCACAAGTCCTTTCCCACACAACCAGTCACCAATGAATTGGTTCATGTTGTGAATCATTTTCATCTTTTGGCCCTTCGGATTCAATTCAAACCTTTGTGCTTTCCCCATAGTCAATCAAGTTGTTGTTATCCTCTTCTTTTTTCAACTTGCCCAGCTTGGATTCATATCCATTCCTCTCACCTTACCTTTCATTCTTACCCCCTCTCCATGCCCATACAAAATTAACTGTATGTTTGCATCCATACATACATATGTTTTCTATAGGCAAGTTTTCTCTTATTTAAAATACGTGTTTACATTAGAATTTAGAGACTAAAAATATATTAAATGAATTAAAATTAAATTTCTAAATGAATCAAGTGAAAGGATTTTTTATTTTTATTTTTTAGTATTTATGTTTGTGGTATGGAGTATGATTAGCTTTATTAATTATTATTTGAAAATCTTTAATATATATTTTTTTATATTTCTCAATTTACTAAACTTGAATTCAATACTTTACTTAAGAAATCTATTTGATCATCTTTAACAAGAATTATCCTTTCATTATATATCTTTATTTACTAAATGTGAATTCAATACATTAAGTAAGAAAAATGAGTATAATATATCACTCAAACCGATAATGTTTAAAATTTGAATTCAGTACATGAAGTTTAATACTAAATAAATATCAGTTACAACGATCACAAATAAATCCTGAAGAACATAGTTGACGTCTATAAAAAAGATTATTTAATTTATAAAAAGCATTTTAAATGTAGAGTACGTGCTAGACTGAGTGTGAACACTTGCTGTAGGAGTAAATTTACTGACTAACTGTTGACTAAAAATAATGGGTAAAAACAAAAACTTCTGGTCCTGGTGCTTGTTTATTAGCTTATGTATGATATAAAAAGATTTTGTCAAAGTTTTGTTGTTTGAAATTTTGGTTTGATGATGGTGTTATAAAATAACATCTACCTCTAAACTTGGGCACCAAGTTTTGTTGCTCCACACATAATCATGATACATGTTCGCCGCCGTTTAGTTAGTGGTCCAATAAACTAGTATTTGTTTTAAAATAAATAAAGGTATATAGTTTAATGAACATGGTTAAGAAACATCTTTGTCCATGGTGAACCTACTTCGTGTTCAACACATCCAACAAGTCCAAGAGAAATTAACATTTTGTTGTCTAGTTACTTTGCCACCTTCTGGGAAGCTTCTTCCTACTTCACGTCACTTTCTGCACTGTGCACCAGAGAGCAAACATTATATTTATATATATATATATATATATATATATATATATATATATGTTCTTTTTATTATTATTATTATTTATTTGTGTTTCCTTCAATTGGGCTAGGACTCGTTTTGGTTAATGGGGTAGGTTCAACCTTGAATTTTCCATAGTATCAGCTGCGCAGGCTATGCACTTGGATGACCAAAATAATTTCCGGAAACATCAGTCCCAAACACAAAACACCTTCTAGCTTAACCAAGCTATGATACAAAATCTCTTCATTTCATTTTTCGGAGTAGTTTATTTTTTGGAACAATTTTAACACTATTTCAGAAAACAGGTTTTGGAAGTCAAACATGTGGTGAACATAGAAATTCATTTATGTATATGAAATAGATATTTTAAAATGAAAAATTAGCTTTATAAGAATAAATTCATAATTTGGACTCTAATACTAAGGATCAAACATTTATTATTAAGTTAAAATGTATAACTAATAATAAAGATATAACTCTCTTTTAAAAGAGTCTAAAAGTTCAAATATTATAATTTAATAATAACTTTACTTATTTAGTTTGTGAATAGTTATTGATGTACAAATGAGTTTGAGTTTGTATAAAAAGAAAAAAGTCAAACATCATATAAATAAAAAATTGAACAAAATAATAGTTTTTACTAAAGCGTTGGTTCATAAATGTTTCATCTAGATCCATATAATATTTCAAAAATTTCTTTCAGAGATGTCTCATCTAGACTCATATAATATTTCAAAAATTCATCCAAAAGGGATATCAGGTAAAAAATGGTTGCTGAATAGGTTTTATATTTTAGGATTTAATGGAAAAAATAAAAGTAGTAAGATTTTGCATAGTGGAGAATCTCTGCTAGAGATGTTGGATTCAGTCCGGAAGGAAAGATTCTGATAGTTTTGGCTTTGTTGGATGAGGATTTGACCATAAAGATGAGAGAAAAACTAAGGGTACCAGAAATTAATTGGACAAATTTTTTTTGTCTAGAAAGAAAATTAGGAATTGTATTTTGGTCTCCTTTGATATGTTTAACAGAAAAATTATACCTTGAAAACCAGTCAATTAGTCGGAGGATTTGGGGAATTGTAGGCATCCTGTTTTTGAATTCGAGGATTCTTGAAAAAGAAGAGTTATCCATTTGTACTTAAAAATGATGCCCTCTGAGATATAAGTTAAACTTTTTATTTTATTTTTGACAGCTAAGGCTTCCTTGATAGTGTTTTTCGGCATGTTCTCTGATGTAATTAATGATTCCAAGAAATTGTTGAATTTACTTTCTGGTTAAGTTTTTCATAGGAAAATTGAGAAGTTCTTCAACAATGTGGGGTTGAGGTTGATATAAGCCTTTACAAAATAGAGACGGGTTCTAAAAAGTAGAAGTTGAAGTAAATAGAGATGGATAATGATATTTCTTTATATTTTGTTGTTTGACTTTTGTCTCAATGTAATTATCGATCTCCTAGATTTGAGCCTTAAGCCTTCTGATCTCTTTTTCTAGATAATTCTCCAAAGATGGTATTTTTTCAATCTTATTCTAATCTTGAGAGTTCTAAGAAAAGTTGTTTATAATACTTTCTCAAAGTTGAGTTGAGATGATGATGTGAACATGACCTATGATAAGGGATAGAGCAAGGGAAACAAAGGAAGCTCTTCAACAAAATAATATGAATCACAAAGGGGTAATTTAGGATATTTAGAGTTATAACTTTGTAAGAAATTTAGGAATTAGAAAGAAGGTGGAAGGAAATAATCACTCTTCCCAAGGGAGGCAACACACAAAGGATGTGAAAGTCCTTTGATATAGTCAAGGGTTCTTGAATCACTCAAGAATTTAGGAGAATCACTCTCACTAAGATAAAAGAGATAAACTCTAATATTTCTGAATAAAATTTCACTTGTTATTTCTTGATAAGAATGGTTCAGCTGATATAGAAGCGTTGTCATCAGAATTACAAAAGACTCAATAAAAGAAAATAAATACTAATAATAACTCATTAATCTAGGATTTGAAAACTATTTAATGGAAACAAATAAAGGCTAACACTACAAGAAAATTGCGTATTACCGACGGATATTTACCGACGGATTTGTAACCGTTAGAAAATAAATATTACCGACGGAAATTACCGACGGATATAAAATATTTGTGGAATTTGATCTTACCGACGGATATATCCGTCGATAAATCCGTCGGTAATTTACAGATGAATTTACTGACGGATATATCCGTCGGTAAATTCGTCGATAAATTAATAATTAATTACAGACGGATATATCCGTCGCTAAATTCATCTGTAAATTACCGACGAATATATCCGTCGGTAAATTCATCTGTAAATTCATGACGGATATTTTCAGTCGATAAATTAACAATTAGTAAATATTCAACTAATTAAAAAATTAAATATTTTTTATTTAATAATTTAATTTAATCATAATTAGATTAATTTATAATAATTTCTTCAATTAAATAATTTTAAAAAATAAATATTTAATTATATATAAATATATAAATATAAAATATATAAATATAAAAATATATAAAAATATAAATATATAAAAATATATAAATATATAAATATAAATATATAAAAATATAAATATATAAAAATATAAAAATATATAAATATATAAATATATAAATATATAAATATATAAATATATAAATATAATTTATTTGTAAATTATTATCAAAAAATTCTAGTAGCTTAGTGGTTGGAGTATCAACCTCTAACTCTAAGGTACTTGGGTTTGAATCCTGTCAATGACAATATAAAATAAATAAGTTATAAGTAAAATATTTAATATGACTAAATTTTTAATTGGACTCTTATTACAACTTAAAACAAAATCAAACTAAAGCGCATTAATTGATTAATCCAAAACACAATTTGGTCAACCAACAATACTTGTTGAAGAGCTTCCTTTGTCTCCCTTACTCTAGCTCTTATCATAGGTCATGTTCACATCAGATGATGAAGCTTTTCATTAGTTTCCTCAAGATGTGTTTTGATTTTATCCATTTTTTGGTCAATTCTTTGCAAGATGGAGTTTTGACAATTTGGTCAACCAACAATACTTGTTGAAGAGCTTCCTTTGTCTCCCTTACTCTAGCTCTTATCATAGGTCATGTTCACATCAGATGATGAAGCTTTTCATTAGTTTCCTCAAGATGTGTTTTGATTTTATCCATTTTTTGGTCAATTCTTTGCAAGATGGAGTTTTGAGCTTTGATATTTTTTGTTTGTCAGTTTAATACTTTCTTAGCTTAGCTCAATGGTTTTGTTTTCCCATTTGATTCGACTTCTTGACACACAACATGTGGTTTTGTTGTTATTTTGGACACAAGATCAATATTCCTTTCAAGAGGAGGAAATTCCTCTTTATAGGATCTTGGGTTGATCATCATGCATGGAATAAGAGGAGCAACAGGAGGTGGCATGACAAAGGTTCTGCACTTGTCTTATTTCGGAAGAAGGAGACCTTCTTATTCAAGGATCTCAGCATATCACTCATATTTCCACAGAGGGTTTGGTTTCTCTTGGTAATGAAGTCCAATACAAGGAGATTTTCTAGGTTCAAACCTTCTATTGGGAGAGAAAGGAGGTTTGCAAGATCCTCCTTCAAAGTCATCATCTTCATCTGAGTCATCATCGTCTTCCTCACTGGTATCTCTAGTGTGAACACAACAATCACAGTCAGAACTACACATATCAAAGTCTGCATTCCATATGAAGTGTCCTTCTATCTTATATGTAAAGATAGGCTTCCCGTCAGGATATACGATGGCTGGCGATAGAGATTTTTCCTTTTTAGTGACAAGTAATATCATCATGGATTGGAATATGGAG